GAGAAGTTTCAAGATACCACTGTTGGTCGTTTTGATGTAACTTAGGATTTAATTTTTGGCCTATTTCCTCTTTTGTCTGCTTGTCCCGCTCCACAATCCCCATTCAGTCCTTTTTTCTAGTTGACACAGTTCAGGGCCGGCTGTGGCCATGTGGTTTTAATTGGAAACTGTCTCTTTAAATTTCAAGGAGATCTGTGCGCATGCGTAGTAGAACCCTCCGAGGGTGGGGCTGGGGTGCCCACTAGCTCAGGCACCCCTATAGTCACCCGAATGGAGGTGCACAGACAGCAAGGGACCAATGAACAGATACCAAAAGAAAAGAATGTCCACACCTTTATCTCAGCGGTTCTGCCAGGTGCCTGAGGCCGCTCCGATCCTTTTTCCACGTGCTCTCACCCAAGATGGCGGCTCCTGGGGCAGCCAAGTGTCCCGGACTAGAAAGCAATAGATTTCTTGCTTCTGCCACAAATTCCCCCAACTGTGAGCCTTCCAACCTTCTAAGTATTCCTTTATATGTGGTTCAGAGTTCTGGGACCAGCCCCTGAGCCTGCTTGGTCGGGTATTCTGTGTTGTTGTTGGCGGAGCTCTCTGCTATATGACCACCCGATCCGCCACCTTGTTTGTTCCTCTCCTTCCATCTTCTTTTGATGCTTCCGGAATCATTCAATACTTTTCCCATTTTGTTAACTGTTGTCAAGTCAGTTCCTACTCACGTTGACTCTGTATAGGGTTTCTGAAGAGTGGCTGGTGACTTTCAACTGCCAAACTTGTGGTTTGCAGTCCAGTGCTGGTCCTACAGTGCCACACTAGGAATCCATTTTGCCCATTTTTGTGGTTGTTAAGAGCTATTGGTTGTGACTCATAACTACCCTGTATAGGATTTCCAAGGAGCAGCTGGTGTGATTCACAGTCCATTGCTTATTCTACGGGGTGACACCTGGAGTCCATCTTACCCACTGTTGTTGTTGTTAGGTGCCATCGGGTCGGTGCCTACTCAACCTTATACACATCAGAACAAAACACTGCCAGATCCTGGGTCAACCTCACTATTGTTGCCACGCTTGAGCCCATTAATGCTGCCAGTTTGCCTATCCACCCGCTGGGGGTCTTCTGTCAATATTTCAAGTCAAGCCTTGAATTTTTCTTCAGTTCTTTCAGCTTGAGCAATGCTGTGAGTGTTCTTCCCTTTGCTCCATCCATGTCATTAAAGTCAAGTCTTTGAGGAGGTAGCTTTTCCCCATTATAACCTAAGGGGCTCATCTCCTAGCACTATATCACACAATGCTCTACTGCTATTCTTAAGGCTCTCAGTGACTAACCATTAGAAAGTGATCTATCTCTCTCTTCCTGTCATCATGGGTGACCCTACCTATACTTAAAATACCAGTGGCATAGCTTCCAGCAACACACACACCACCACAGTGTGACAAACTGACAGACAAGTGAAGATTTGTGATTTATTTATCACATCAGTGGTACTTAACAACAACAACAACAACAGAGGGAGAGCTGGTTCTTACTTTATTTCTGTTTCCAACCTTTTAAGGAAGAACTCATTCTTCTTCCATGGTAGTTGCACCATTTTACAGCACTGTATGTGGGGTCCAGTCTCTTCACCCTCTCCAGCATTCAGTGTTTTCTGTTTTTATGAACTTTGCTATTAATGCTGGGATGAGATGATATCTCATTGTGATATTAATTTACAAGTCTCAAACGCCTAATGATCGCAAACATTTCTTCATACGTTTGTTGGCTGCCTGAATGTCTTCTTTAGTGAAATGTCTGTTCATGTCTTCTGACCATTTTTAAATCGATAATTACTTGTCTTTTTCTTGTTAAAGTAACCTATAAATTTAGAGCTTAGTCCCTTGTCTGATAGATCATTGCCATTTCTGTCTGCCCCTCCCTCCAATCTGTGGGTTTTCTTTTAACTCTTTTGGCGAGCTCTTTAGATGCACGTGTATCTCATTTTTAGGAGTCCCTAATCATCTAGTTTGTCTTCTACTGTTGGGGTGTTTCCAGGTATGTTTGATAGTCTATTTATGCCACTATCAGGGCCCCTAAGTTTGTCCCCATTTTTTCACTGATGATCTTTTTGGTTCTAAGTTTTCCATTTTGATCTTTGATCCAGCTTGAGTTCATTTGTTATATGGGATGAAATATGGGTCCTGTTTCAATTTTCTGCAAAAGGACAACCAGTTTTGCCAGTACTATTTGTTAAAGAGACTATCTTTCCCCCATTTCATGAGTTTCAGTCCTTGTCAAGGATCAACTATCCATAAGTGGACAGATTTACTTCTGCATTTTCAGTTCTGTTCTTTTGGTCTGTGTGTCTGCTGCTGTACCAGTATCAGGTTTTTATGACTACCGTGGCTGTGATAGGTTTTGAGATTGCCCTTGGGCGAACCTCAAGGTCAGCAGTTCAAAACTACCAGCTGCTCCGTGGGAGAAAGATGAGGCGTTCTGTTCCTGTAAAGATTTACAGCCTCGGAAACCACATACAGGGTCGCTATGAGTCGGAACCGACTCCACGGCACACAGCCACCACCATCCATCCCTCTTATGGGCCATTTCCTACACAAACCCCTATGCTTCCCCCATAAACCTCTCCCTACTTCCTGATACTCCCCAACCTCTTACCATCACATCTAGAGCATGTGTCTGCTCCTAGCCCTCCACTACGACAGGACTGGGTCTAACACACCTCTTTCTTTCATCCCAAATCTGATTCTTTACGAACTCCTTTCTTCATCCCTAACGTGTGCTGGACTCCTTCTTCCCTGGTCTCCCCTCCACCCCTGGGACCTTTCCACCTATATAGGACCTTAAGAAGTTGTCATCTCTCACAAACCCTCCCCGTGAGGTCCTTACAATTAACCTTCATACACACAAGATCCTCACTTCCTCGCCTATATCACTGAATCCCAAGTTGATATCTGCCCCATACCCACCAATAATCCTTGGACCCCCCACTACCATTTTCCCTTTTTCTATTGCCCTCTTAGCTCCTCTTTTTCCCCAAACTGCACATGTTCTTGGTCCAGGTGCCTAGCTGCTAGACCTTCACCTTCTACTTTGGCTTCTGCAGACATCAGGAGACTCTCTCGGCTTCACAAACCTGAGCTTCATCTCTGATTGTCCTACTCAGCTGGTCTGGCCTTTTCCCAGCACTGCCCCTTCTCCTTTGATGGTTTTCTACCTCTGACCCTCTTGTGGCTGTGAGCTGTCTCCTCCCCACCTCCACCTGTATCACTCCCATATGCAGGGTATCAGGATAGCAGAACAATCTGTTAGGTGTTTGAGAAACGTCTAGGGAGAAGTTTCATCTCTGGCTTTGTTCCTCCCCCCACAGCACTCCGCAGTCTTTGTTATAGCACCACAGTGACATCCCTGGATGGATCTGTGCAACCCCGATTCCACACTGAGGGGCATTTGGATGATAAGCTCTTCCTGTGCTATGACATTGAGAAAGGCCAGGCAGAGCCTTGTGGACCACGGACAGAAACCCAGCTGGCAGCTGAGACCTCAGAGACCAAAGACTTGACAGATGTAGGAGAGGTGCTGAGAATGACTCTGGCAGAAATCTTAAGCTCTCAGGGCCAGAAAAATGGTAAGAGTGGGAGGGGACAGCAGGGTGTAATAGGTTTGACACAGGAACAAAAAGGGGGACACCTGTCTCTTTCCACTGGATTTGGCTGGCCATGCGGGTGATGAGGTCTGTGGAAGTCAATCAGTAGGAGAGCAGGAAGGGGGCTTCTAAATTGGAGTTTCTCACCATGGGTGGGGGAGGCATATGGAGGATGGAGAATTGACTACTGGGGCCGGGGGGCAGGTTTGCATTCGTTCCAGGAGAAGCGGGGCTGTGAGATGAAGGAAGAAAACCTTTCCAGGGGCTTCTGGAATTACTCCTACGATGGGGAGCCCTTCCTCTCCTATGACCCAGAGAACCAGACATGGACAGCACAAAGGTTCTCGGCTTTGAAAATCATGAAGGAGTGGGATGCACACAGTGATAAACACAAGGATTACATTTACCGTGTGCAGGGATCTATTTGTAGAAAATTACAGAAATACTTAAAATCCGGCAAGAACTCCAAGGAGCAAACAGGTACTGACCTTGGGGCTGATCCTTCATTTCCCTCCCCTGCTGTACCCTGGGTCCCCTTCACTCTGCATTACCTGGCAGAGACCTTGCCTGTTCTGTGGGATCTATGTATGTTCTGTTGACACACTGTATTCCGAGTTCTCAGTCTTGCTAAAATCTCTGGTAAAGACACACATATGGCTGAGGAATGATCTGTCCAGTGTCAACATCCAGGAAAGCAGGGGACCCACAGACAGGAAACTGAACTTGGAAGTGGCCTGTTAGGTGGGGAGGCCCTGGGCCTGCCCTCATCTGACTCCCTGCCTTCCTCAGCCTAGTGAGTTCCTCTTAGCTCCCATGACCCACGAGCCCGGACCCTTCCCCAGTGAAGCCCCATCCTCCTGCCAGTTTTAGGGATTGGGACTCCATGGTCCCAAACAGACTTGTGAGCAGTATTCAACCAGAGGTCCAGGAGATGAAAGTGGCTCAGCCCAGAGCAGGAAACATGGAGAATACCTGCCCCGTTCTGTCTCTCTTACACTTGGAGGCAGGACTTGGCCATGTGCCTTACCTGTTCTGCCCTCCCCCCTTCCAGTGCCCCCAGCAGTGAATGTAACCTGCACCAAGGCCATAGAGGGCAACACCACCCTGAATTGCTGTGCTTCTGGCTTCTATCCTCCGAAAATTTCATTGACCTGGCTTCAGGATGGGGAACCTATGAACCAGTACTCCCAAGACTTCTCTGATGGGAATGGGACCTGTATGTCCATAACGGTTCCCCAAGGACAGGAACAGAGATACCGCTGCCACTTGGAACACAACCAGAAGAACAGTACATACTGTGTCACCTGTGGTAAGCAAAGATGATCCTGGGGGTGACCCTGACCCAGAGTGAGGGAAAGGAAGGCATGCATGTCTGGGGCCGGGTGTATAATAAGTTTGTTTTTCAGAAGAGACTTCAGTGCAAAAGATGTCATTGGCGGCCATTGGTATTGTTATTGCTGCTTTTGCCATTGTTGCCATTACCATTGTCTATCTCACTTGGTGTAAAAACAAGAAGAAAACATCAGCTGTGGAAAGCCCAGGTAAGAAAGCTGTGCCCAGTCAGTGGCTGTGGGGAGGGGCTCTGCTGGGAAGTGGGACCCACTTCCTTCTGCACAAGTGGAGGTGGACAAGACACATCTCTCTCTAATCAGAGAGTAACAGGAGATGAAAGTTGGGGGTGTCAGGGAAGGAAGTTGGGATCCACATCCCCATCAACCCCCTTCAGTTCTGCTCATAGCCAGGACCAGGCTGAGGCCCTCTAATGTCCAGCCTGGGCCTTTGTTACCTGTGGGGGGGGGATTGTTGAGGGAGAGGCTCAGGCTGCTCTCTGCACTCTCCCCATTCTCTCTCCATCTCTCAGGCCCCCAAGGCTGGGCCAGATGGGATGTGTGGGGAATCATGGCCTGACTGACAAGGCCCTGGGAGGCTATGGAATCAGAGGGAACAAATAGTATGAGTTTGTGGTCTGGTGGGACAGAGGGTGATTAAAGCTCACAGGAAGATGGGTGAGATGTGATGACTCTAGTCTTGGTCTGGCTCACTTTTCCTTAACTTCTCTAATCCTCATGAAAAAAAACAAGAATAAGACTCCTGTGCTAAACCCTAAACTTCCTGCCTAAAGCCCCCTGGGGAGCCTCTACTTAAAAGACACAAATGGGCTCCTTCCCTGAGACCTGGGTTTGGTTTCCGTGAAGCCCTAGCCTGTGCTACTTTCAAGTCACCATCACCCTTGTTCATAGTTTTGGTGCTTCCTTGTGTATGAATGGAGAGGAGAGGAGCAGATGTGGACCCTGGTCTTGTCCTACTTCTCAGGGCTTCCTGTCCATCCTTCTGGGGAACAGTCCATGGGGACTTTGGGTCTGTGTTATATGAGCTCTCCTGTCCTCCCTGGGGTCACTGTTTTGTATATATGGATTAAGGTATGGCCAAAATGCTAATCAAGTTGCTTGAGGAAAGAGGAAAAGAGAAAACAGCTTTTTGTTTCAGTCCAAAACCAACGCAATTCATGAAACTGTAAGAAGGTGGGGTGTGTGGGAGATGGGGTCATTTTAGCTATATCCTGGTATTGCACTGTATGGTAAGCATTGGATTGCTCATCAGAAATCCTATACAGTCTCTAGAAGTCAGAACTGACATGATGATACTTAATAACAACAACAATAATCATTTCTGTTAGAGGTGCCCTGGTGGCACATGGGGCTGCTAAGGAAAAGGTCAATGGTTCAAACCCACCAGCTCTCAGCTGCTCTGTGGGAGAAACTCACTGGCAGTGGGTTTTTTATTTTAATTTTTAAACTTTTTATTGTGAATTGAGTGAAGAGTTATAGAGCAGATCATCAGGTTTACATTCAACAAATCATATAATTCATTTCGTTACAATGATTGCAACCACTCCATGTACCATCAGTTAACAGCATTTACCTCTATTCACTTTAACACTTGGATTCCTCCCTGTGTCTCCCACTCCCTTCATCTTTCCTCTGCCAAGCTCTCTCTTATTGTACATTGTCTTCCCTGTCATCCCAGTTAACCTATGTCTACCCTCTAGCTCTGGTAGTGTAGTGGTTACGAATCGGGTAGCGATCCTTAAGGTCTGCAGATCGAAACTACCAGCACGCTTCGTGGGAGAACGATGAGGCTTTCTACTCCCGTCAAGATTTACAGCCTTGGAAACCCTGTACAGGGTCGCTATGGATCGGAATCGACTTGACGGCACTTAACAACAACAACCCTCTAGCCAGTTAATTTTCCCTTCCCTCCCATCCCTGGCTACCATCATAGAATGTTTCTTTTAGCAAGAAAACGTATTCTTATCTTTTTACAACAATGTCTCAACAATATTTATCTTTTTGTGATTGACTAATATCACTCAGCATAATGTCCTCCAGGTTCATCCATGTTATGAAGTGTTTCCGCAGGGTGGCTTTTTTTTTTCTCTCTCTTATTTTTATTCCGCTTTATGTGATCAACAGGAGGGAGATGCTGACAGCAGAGACTTCTTCTTGAAGATCATTTTTTTACAGTTTGCCCCTCATTCCTAGGCAGCCTTGGACAGTGAATCTTCTCTTCCATTGCTAAGGGATCCATCCATGTTGCAGGGAGGTGGGGGTAGCCCGTGTCTATCGTTGTACTGCTCTTACATGCAGCTCTGATTTCTTAGGGGGGGGAAGGGGAGGTGGAGGGTTGTCTCCATATCTATGAGACATTTGTTGGGAGAAAGCTGTGACAGTCATGTCCTACTTTCTCAAAATTCCTGCTTTAAATTTTGATGTCCAATAACAAATGTTATGAATTTACTGTTGTTATGTGCTAACGAGTCGGTACCGACTCATAGCACCCTTATGCACAGCAGAACGAAACACTGACTGATCCTGAGCAACCTGATTATCGTTGCCATGCTTGAACCCATTGATACTGCCACTTTACTAGGAAGTCTTAATAGGAGTTCCTGCAAAACTGATCTCCAACACATTTGAAGTGAAGCAGACTTCATGTGTGGAGATCCCTGTCTCCGATGTTTCCATAAGGAAGGTGGTGTGTGTGACAGTGAAATTCCAGGGTGCAAACACAGCCTCAGGTGGAAGAGACTAAAGAGTCCCTTCTTTTGCATTGAGGGAATGGTGTTTGCTGGTCAGATCCTTTCAAGGAAGGAACCTGTTGGGGGGAAGGGCAAGAAATCCTGGCTGCCTCAGGTGAGCATTGTACAAGCAAAATGGTCAACAACAAGGAAGGCCTGAGTGCAGCTGAGAGCCAGTTTGATGCAGAGGTTCAGGGGAAGACAGAGTCTCCTTGAGCAGAGTGTGCCCCCAGGTCAAGCAGATAGAATTCCTGAGGAAGCCATGTTTTCTTAAATGCGCTGTTGGTGCTGCTGAGCTTTTTCTTTCTAGAAGCTACTGGCTCAGGAGGTGGGTAGTTGCAGGGGGTGGAGAGGGGCTAAGCTACAGATGGAGGTCAGTATTTGCACTTGAGTTGGGCCATGAGGTGGGACAGCACTGCTACACTCACGTTTATGACCTTAAGGAAGCTGCAGAATTGTGTGTGACCCGTGTCAAGGTTTAGAAGAAAAGGAGTTCAGGGCCTCATTTTGGGGGTCTCTCACTCTGTTGAGGGATGAGTTGGGGCTTGAGAGGAGGAAAGGCACTTGGTAATGTTGTTATAGTGCTGGCTAGATTCTAGCAAGTGCTGGAAAAGTGGATATGAAGTAGCAGGGAGTGGGTGCATCATCTTTCCAGAGGACAAGGTAGAATCCTGCTTTAGAGAGACTGAGCACGATCCCTAAGGACCAAACTTCTGCAAATCTTGAACACTCACTGGTTTGTCCTGATGGGTTTTCCTTTTCCCTTCATCTCTAGAGCAAGAGGCGCTATCGGATGGACACCAGATGGAAAGTGCAAATCACAATGGTACTCTGCTGTCGGCTCCTAATTACACCGATTCACCTGGGGGAATATAGACTTTAGTAATTATTATAATAATTTATTATTATTATTAATTATTATCATTATTTTAATAAATTATTATAACAAATTATTGTTCTTTGTTATTGAGTCTATTCTGACACATGGCAATCCCATGTATCCAGAGTAGCTCTGTTCTATAGCATTTCTAAGACTCTATGTGGAGCATTTCAGAAGTGCATCATTCACCCTGTCTTCTGAGGTGTCTCTGAGTGAGTTCAAAGTGCCAACGTTGTGGATAGTAGTTGAGCTGTTTTGTTCATAGTTTCTCTTTCTGTTATTGCTCCTTCTCAGCAGCCTATTACAGGCTACTCTGAACCCTGAGTACTCTTACTCCTGATCACACTCATGCATTAATTTGTACCATGTCTATGTGATTCTCTCGTGAATGTTTAAGTGTTCTTTTTTTTAAAAAATGTTTTTTACGTGGGAGAACATTAGTTTTACATTCATCCTATCGTATATCATCTCATTGCCATGATTACACTCCCCTCCGTGCATCATCAACCAACTGAAGGGTATACCCTATAAGCACACAGGCCCTCTCCCTCTCTGCATCTAAAGTCCTGCTGCTTTATCTTTCCATGTCATTGTCTCTGCCTCCATCTCAGGCATCACTGCTTCTCTGGGTAGGGTCCTGCTCTCCACTCTTCTCCCTTGATGGTCCCAGGGACCTCTGCTCCTAGACTGAAAAGTCAATCAATCCCCTCCTTGCTACAAAACATCTACCTTTACATTTCCAACCCTCACAATCAGTCCTGATAACAATTATTCACTATTGTATCACAAGAGACCCATCAGCATTTCTTTTCATCAGCCTGCCTAGTCAGATTGGATACTACTCAGTGGAGATTTTACCTTCCTCCAGGCCCTCTAGATCTAGGTTTCCCTTGAAAGCTTGTAAGCCAGTCACTTCTTGCCTTTGTAGCCCCCACCACCACCAACATTTTAGGTAACCAATGTCTAAGTTGCCCATCCCTGTCTACTCTGTGTGTGTAGGGGGTGGGAATGATTCTTGCTGTAAAAAATAAGTGTTCTTTAAATATACAAACTTGCTTCTGTGTTTTACTTCCTATTCCTGGGAGGGAGCAGAGTGTGGTGTTTAGGAAGAAGAGATATGTCTCAATTCCTTGACACAGCACTGAGAAATCCCCCTTCCCCTTCAATGACAGAATCACTGCAAAGCAGAAAGGGTTGGGATAGGATAGATGGGCTATTCTGGGGCCAAAATTGGGGAATTGTCCTTTGGGGGGAAAGGGAGCATCACATGTTGGAGCCCTCATGTGATGGAGCAGAGCTGTGTGATCTCAGGGGAGAGGGATGCCCTGATTTTGAAAAGTAGAGTCACTGTGTTTCTGGGGTGACTGAAATGGTTGGGGAGATGTGGGTTGAGTTAGGGAAAGAACAAATGGGCACAGAATGTGGGTCAGAAAATCGGGCATCACAATGTCTCCTACCATCAGTGCAGAGAAATTTAAGCAAGGGAAATGGAGGTGAGGTGTTCCCCCACCTATTGCTCAGTTCTTCCTGACCCCTGGTCTGGGCCACAAGGAAAGGTGAGGCTTTTCATGTCTAGGGCACCCCTAGCTGCACCCAGGTAAGGCAATGGAAGCAGAGTCTGAGAGGATCTCTCCCAATCTGACTTCGGACAGAGGAGGGAGCCTGGAGTTGATGTCATTCACAGATTTGTGAAGTGGTTCATTGAATGTTGTTCATTGAAGAATTCTTACATTTAGCCAGACCTCAAGGGTCATTGTATACTTACAAGGAGTGCTGGCAGCGTTATAGAAAAAGCACCGAACTTCCAATCACAAGGTCAGCAGTTCAAAGTCACCAGCTGCTCCTCAGGAGAAAGCTGCGACATTCTACTTCCATAAAGATCTACAGCCTTGGAAATCTTACACAGGATTGCTACAAGTGGGAACCCACTCAACAGCACATAACAACAACAAGGAAGAACATTTAGTATGGCTATTATTCACATTGGAGTCATGGTGTGGTGCGGTGGGATAAAGTACCTTGAGCCGCAAGGTCCACAGTTCAAACTGACTCCTTCAAAACCTATATAGGGTCGCTATGAATCGGAACTGACTCCATGGCACTTAAACAACAAGGGTCATTGCTTATACTCAATCATCATTAAACATAATGTTTTCATACTTATTCAATGTTTTGTTTTCATTTTAATCAAAGTTTGATTGCCCATATTTTAAAGAGTCACATATTTGTTCAATAATTTCTCCTGAAAAATTCTCCTTTCTGCCTGCTCTCAATATCTCCCTTCCTAGAGTGTTTGCTGCTTCCTCCTAGTTCTTTGCATAGTGCCTGGGATCTTTAACCCTTGAAAGTGGCCATCAAAGACACCACAATGGTCTGTCTTTACCTGGAGCAACACAGGAAGAGAAAGACTCAGGAACAGAAGGAAGGCGCCCTGCTGTGGTGCTATAGGATAAACACTGGACTGCTAACTGCAAGGCCAATGGTTCAAACCCACCAGTTGCTACTTGGAAACCCTATACAAGGTCACTATGAGTCAGAAATGACTAGATGGTACTTAACAACAACAACATAGAATGTGTGAAGTCTTGGTGTGGTAGGTAGGATAAGAACTGGACTGCGTACTACAAGTTTGGAGGTTCAAACTCACCATCTGCTCCTTGGAAACCCTATATAGAGTCACTATGAATTGGGGAAACTGAAGAAAACATCCAAGCCTCGACTTTTGTTATTGAAAAATTCTCTGGGCAAATTATTGAATGATGCAGAAAGCATCAAGAGAAGATAGAAGGAATACACAGAGTCACTGTACCAAAAGGAAATGGTTCATGTTCAACTGTTTCAAGAGGTAGCATATGATCAAGAGCCAATGATATTGAGGGAGGAAGTCCAAGGTGCATTGAAGGAATTGGCAAAGAACAAGGCACCAGGAATTGATGGAATAAAAATTGAAATCTTTCAAAAAAGTGAGACGGCACAGGAAGCACTCACACATCTCTGCCAAGAAATTTGGAAGACAACTATCTGTGCCCATTCCAAAGAGAAGTGACCCAACAGAATGCAGAAATCATCAGACAATCTCTTTGCTATCCCAGCGAGTAACATTTTGCTAAAGGTAATACAGAAATGGCTGCAATCATACATTGACAGAGATCTTCCAGAGGTTCAAGCTGGATTCAGATGAGGCCATGGAATGAGGGATATTATTGCTGATGTCCGATGGATCTTGGCTGAAAGCAGAGAATATCAGAAAGATGTTTACCTGTGCTTTATTGACTACTCAAAGGCTTTCAATTGTTTGGATCATGACAAGCTATGGACAACATTGTGAAGTATGGGTATTCCGGAACACTTAATTGTGCTCATGAGGAATCTGTATATGGACCAAGAGGCAGTTGTTTGAACAGAACATGGGAACAATGAATGTTTTAAAATTAAGAAAGGTGTGCGACAAGGTTGTATTCTTTCACCATATTTATTCAACCTGTATGCTGAGCAAATAATACGAGAAGCTGGGCTCTACGCTATATACGAGGAGCTCTGGTAGCGTAATGGTTATGAATCGGGCTGCTAACCTGAAGGTGGCAGTTGGAAACTACAAGCGGTTCCGGGGGAGAAAGATGAGGCATTCTGCTCCCGTAAAGATTTACAGCCTCGGAAACTCTGGGCAGGTTCACTATGAGTCGGAACTGACTCCTCGGGTACTTAACGACAACATATGGGTGTAAGTGTGTCTGTGGGTTTAATTAGGGGTTTCCCCCACCTCTCCATCGCTCTGCTAATCTCCTAGAAGGTAAAGCTCTTTTGAATTTCTTTTATTCCCTCCTGGAAGGAAGGTGGCTGAGTCTTTTCCTTCACCAGGTGAAGCTGAAGCGTCTCCTAGATTCTGTTTCAGACACATTGTCATTGCTCAAAGGAGCCCTAGTGGCCCTGTAGGATAGGCACTGGAGTACAAGGTCAGCCGTTCAAATCCACCACCGCTTGGAGAAATGAGGTTTTCAGCTCTTGAAAAGTCTTAGAAACCATCTATAGGATCCGAAGGAGTAGAAATCGACTCCATGACAGTGGATTTGGTTTGGGGACTTTGGGGGCCAGTGCCCGAGGAAGAGTCCAAATCCTGAGTTCAAAACTTAAGTTTGTTTTGCAACGTCGCTCTGTCGCGTGTGCCTGCAAAGATCTTGCGTTTCTTTCTACTTTGGCCAGTGCCTTTTAGATCTCTATCTACTCCGCTCGAAGCAATCCTTTAAAAAACACTTTTAAGGGTCCGAGCGGAGTGTGGCTGCAGCGGCGGCGTGGAGATCTGGGTTCCGGGTGAGGAGTCGCTACTTGGGGGGAAGGAGGCGGAGTAGGAAGGGAGAAGCGGAGCGCCCGCCAGAGGACGGAAGGAGGCGAAGCCGAACGACACTGGGAGCCGGCCCAGCGGCTGCGGAACGAGAGCCCAGCGCACTGAGGCAGGGAGGCCGCGAGCCCGCCCGCCTCTGCGCCTCCTGCTGTGCCCGCCCTCGCCCCGCCCGCTCGCCGCCTCCCCTACCCGAGGTCAGCAGGCAGCCTCAACATCGCCCGGGACCCGGGACGGCTCAGAGATGCCGGGCAGATTGTGGAACTAACTGCACGAGACGGAGGTGGAGACCATCCAGTGGAGACCAACTACGGTGGTGGGCACGCCGGCCACAAACACCCACCACCGCCCGCCCACGATCGAGCTGCAGCCACTCATCCCCGACGACCAGGAGGTGATCCTGGAGCAGAAGCGCGAGGAGGTGGTGGGCGGCGACGACTCGGAGGACCAGATGGTGATCAGAGCGCCGGTGCCGGCCCGCAGCAATAATGATGCGCGTCAGAAGCGGCGGCTGGTGGTGGCCTCATCTCGAAGGGCAACGGCTTGGAGAGTTATTTGGGCGGTAGGGCCGTGGTGGCGTCTACCCAGCTAATAAGAAGTGGGAGCAGAAGCAGGTGCCGATCAAGATGCTAGAGGGCTAGTTCTCCGTCACCGTGTGGTCGTCAGATGAAAAAAAGAGATCTTGACCACGAGACGGTGACTGAAGAGCAGCTTATTGGAGAGAACTCCCCTCCCGACGATTCAGAGTACATGACGGGAGGGATCTTTTCAGAACACAAACATCTGGCAGAATTTACTAAAATGAAGCCAAGAAAAATTACAGAAGATGGTGCTGCCAGGAAGGACAATAACGAATCCTTATAAAGGCTGCACAAAGATGTTCCGGGACAACTCCTCCTTGAGGAAGCATCGGCACACCCACGCCCCAAGGCCACGTCTGTGCAGAATACGGCAAAGCTTTTGTTGAGAGCCCAGATCTAAAACCGCAATGAGTTATAATGAAAAAAGCCCTTTCGGTGTGCATTCGACAGCTGTGGGCAGTGCTTCGCACTCACTTACGAATCCACACTGGAGGCAGGTCCTATGTGTGCTCTTCGAAAGTTGTAACAAGAAGTTTGCTCAGTCAACTAACCTGAAGTCACATCTTGAACACATGCCAAAAACGACCAGGAAGAGAGGAGAGAAGCCCCGTTCTCAGTCTCGGGAAGCCTCTTGAACAACTGTGGTTGGAAATGCAAACGCTTCTCCTTTGTATATTGTTTCTAGGAAAGAATTTTTGAAATGAATCCTACACACCTAAGGGACAAGCTTTGATAAAGTAGCAAAAAATTTTAAAAACAAACTTTAATAGAATGGCATTGCTAAAATGCTCTATCTTGCTCTGCAATCTCATTTCAAAACCATGGTGTTTTTGTAAAGTGTGATCTCACCAGGAGGACAATTCAAAAACTTCTCATCAAAAGGCAATACTTTATACAACAGTGCTCAAAATGGGACTTCTTTTCACATTCTTGTAAATAAGAAACTCACCTGTTGCTTACAATTATTTTTATTTTGTATTTTCCAAGTGTGCATATTGTACACTTTGGGGGCATATACATAGTAATGCTGTTGTTAAGTGCCATCAAGTCGGTTCCCACTCATAGACTCATAGTGACCTTGTATAGGGTTTATGAGAAGCAGCTGGTAAATTTGAGCCAACGACTTTACAGTTCAAACTAACTTTGCTGTCCATGGCATTAACCCACAGCACCACACCAGGATTATGGATGATTTTTCGGGACATTGATAACTTTGCTTGCAGTAGGTTTTCTTTAAAAGAATGGACAGTTGCATGCATACTCCAAAAGTTATTTTCCTGCACCAAAAAAAAAAAAAAAAAAGCTATGCATAGGTTTTGTTTGTTATCTTAATGTTGGTTGTATTCTTTGATGTTAACACATATAATTGCATCTTATAGCTGTATTGAATCATGTAGTATCAAATTTTAGATGTAATTTAATAGTGTTAATCAATTTAAACACATTTTAGTCCATTTTTTTCCCCAAAAAACCACTGCCAGATGCTGATATTGAGTGTAATTTCTTTGCCTGTTCAGTTACAGAAACTGGTGTGCTCAGTTGTAGAATGTATTATACCGTTTAGCACCTAATGTGTACATCCCATGTAGCAAAAAGGACCACAATAAACCTGCGATCCTGAAGCAAGAGTATAGCAGAACAATAAAAAAAAATTTTTTTAAGATTAAGTGCTATGAAAATGCTAAGGATTTTTTTTAAAGGTTTTTGTCTTGGGTTTAATTAATATTTTGTTTATTAAAATCTATAATTTATTGGGTGTGGGCTTAGTTTACTATCATTTGGAAACTGAAGTATTCTTTTTCCACCAAAACCAAAGTTACAATAAAATCCCAACATTTCAGAGATCATGAAAATTACCAGGTCCTTCCACTTTCTAGAGATCACACAGATAACGGTTTTGTAAAGAATCTTCCATTAATAAATGTCATTTATAAATGTTTACTTATAAATTTCTATTACACAAGTGATCTTAGCAGGATGAATAAGTAGAGCACATCATTTCGTAGCAATATGTTAATTCCCATCTAACTCCTCATAACGACCACAGAGAGTTTTATCATGTGTCATTTTCTTAGGGAGATAATGGAAATTTTCTCGATTTTCACAAAATGAGCTATATCTTTATCCGTTTGGAGATAAAGAGATCAAACAGCTGTGGCAAAAGTCAACTAGAGAATTAAAAAAAGCAGAAATTTTCAAATTATATCTTTGATTTCTAATTGAAAATGAGCAGTTTATTTTATTTTGAATGTAGGCAGAAAGCCACAGTAGTATTAGCCTTATTCCTAACTTTGTCCTGGTGTGGTGCCATAAGATAAGCACTAGACCTCTAGGTTGGTTCGAACCATGATTCAAACTCACCAGCAGCCCCTAGGAAACCCTGTACAAGGTCTCTAAGAGTCGGAACTCAGTGGCACTTAACAACACAAGACACCACAGACATTTTCTCAACCCAAGAAGAGAGAAAAGCTTGAGATAAGCAAGAGAGTAAAGGAAGCACTCACTCTTTGGGTCTTGTAAGTTCAGTGTGGGGGAGGGTGCTTGCGCCTACTTCAGTTTTGTGCCCAGAATACCTGGCTTGCCTCACCCTCTTCCCAATCTGAGGAGTCAAGAGGCATTTGTGTTTATCATACTTTTAAATTATGGTGCTTGCTGGGGTTCTTGTCAGATTTTATGATGTGCCAATACGGAAGAAAAAATTTATCTACAAGATTTTCATTCTGAATGATTTATTGTATTTTAATGTCAATCACATACAAGATCCAAACTAGGATCTTGGGTTTGAAAATTTATTACTAATAGCAGAACTTAACCAGCTTTAAATGGGTGAGTAAAACAAAAATGGATTTTCATAAATACTGTATAACATCATTGGTACACAAAATAATTGATTGGTACACTGGAAAATAAGATAAAATTTTTATTGAAAAATGTTTTATTTGATATTGTAATCATGGCAAAATAAAAACTTTGTTGGACATCCTTACAATGATTTTATGCTTAATATAGTTTTTAAAATAAAATATACCAACAACAGCAACTCAAAAGATGAGATCAGAAACTCAGGAGACAGTGAGTTTACGTTAATGGGGGAGGAGCAACTAGGAAAAGGAGGATGAAGATGGTTGTACAACTTGAGAAATGTAAACACTCATCGAAATGTACATGTAGAAATCGTTGGATTCGTGTATATTCTGCTGCTGCTGTGTATGTTCTCAACAACAACAAAAAAGAAAAGTTCTAGAAAGGTAGGTAGACAAATGATACTCGGGAGAGTTTCTAAGGGGAGAACTCTGGGGAATCTTGGCGAAGGAAAGAACCCATGTGGAAAGTCGAGTTTAGTATTAGGAGATGCAGAGAGGGTAGGAGTGATAGACCATTCCCAGTCCTGTAATCTCTACTCTTTATTCCATTTTTTGTTTTGTTCTCTATCCCTTCTTTTTATTCCTTCCTCTCTTCCCTCTCTCTAACAGCTCCCCTTTTTCTATACTTCCCCCGACTCCGTCTTCCCCTCTTTCCATTCCATCCCTGCTGTGCACTCTCACTCTCTAGCCAGCTCAGAAAGAAAGGACTGAAAGATGCTCACCAGGTGATTTTTGTAATTGTAAAGTGCTATTCAAAACCAAACCAAACAAACATACCGAAAACCCCAGTTGCGGTCTAGTGGACTCAGACTCAAGGCAATTCCATGTATGTCAGAGTAGAACTATGCTTCATAAGGAGGGACCAGTCGCTGGAGGAGGATATCATGTCTGGTAAGGTGGAGGGTCAGAGAAAAAGAGCAAGACCCGCAGCGAGATGGATTGGCCAAGTGGCATCATCAGTGGCAACAATAGTGAGGTTTTGCGGTAGTGACTCAATGGCACCTAACAATAACAATTTGATTTGGGGGGGGTGTAGATCGATCAGGCCTTTCTCCCAGGTACCTCTGGGTAGATTGGACTATTAGACCTTTAGGTTTGCAGAGAGCTACTTTGCACCACTCAGGCACTGCATTGTTGTTAAGTGCCGTCAAGTCAGTTCCAACTAGTTAGTTCCAATACACAGAGACCCTGTATAGGGTTTCTGAGGAGCGGTTGGTGAGTTTGAACCACCGACATCGTAATTCAAACTGACTTTGCAGTCCTGTACATTAACCCACAACACCACACCAGGACTCCAGGCACTGCATAAAGCCCCACTATTACCGTATCTTTTCAGTGAAAATCTGACCAGTCTGATGGAAATTACACTCAGGATCTAGATTAGGATTCTCACTGAAGATGGCGGAGTCCTCAGTGAATGTTCCCTGGGACCTTAATTGCTGCTCTTTGACCAGGTTTCCATCACAGGCACTTTCTTTTCAGGAATTATGCGAGGGTGCAGGAAATGCTTTTAGATCTTCTAAATTAAGGAGCTCTGGTAACCTTGTTGTTAAGTTGTTAAGTGCCGTCGAGTCAGTTCCGACCCATAGCGACCCTGTACAGGGTTTCCGAGGGTGTAAATCCTTACGGGAGTAGAAAGCCTCATCTTTCTCCCGCGGAGCGTACCAATCGGCTGCTAACCTCAAGGTCGGCAGTTTGAAACTACCAGCCATTATGCAGGAGAAAGATGAGGATTTCTGCTCCCATAAAGATTTAGTTGTTGTTGTTGTTGTTGTTAGGTGCCATTGAATCAGTACCAACTCATAGCGATCCTGGGCCTGATCCTGGGCCAACCTCACTATTGTTGCCTGTAAAGATTTACAGCCTTGGAAACCCCATGCAGAGTCGCTATGAGTCAGAACTGACGCCACGGTACTTAACAACATTTAAGCATTTCTCTAGCCAACCACTTCACAATCCACCAGGATGCTTGGGTCAAAAAAAACGAGGCCAGAGTTCCCTTCAGATCCACGGAGTCAGAATTTCTTCTAAATCAGGCAGGGCTGCATTTTCTCACCTGGCACGCAAATCTGCTCAGGAAAATAATGCTTGAGGACCCAAAACTAAAAAGCAGCTCACCTTCTTCCCCTCCACCCAGTGTTGTTTAT